GGAATCATCCATCCTACTGGGAGACCTAAGACTCCTAGGTTGCTTGCTCCTACAGAACTGCTTACTCTAGAGCTTCTTGAAGTGATGATGGGGTTGGGGGAAGGAGGCTCCAAACCCTGAGGACCACTGTCTCCCCAGCTTTGAGATGGAGGGTGGCAACCTCATTTCACAGATATTTTAAGTATCTGTAAAGCCCAGTGGCTCCAACTTTAAGCCTGTGTTTAGATGAGCTTTGAAAAAAGGCTACTCCTCTTTACAATAACTAGGCGCCACTTCTGATGCCAACCTGTGCTGTGCGTTTGAAACGGGCAACCACACCCGCCAAAACAAGACCACCTACAGATGGCACAACGCCTGCCGCAGCCGCTCTCCTTGGCAGCGAGATGCATGTGCAGGCAAAAGGCTTTTGTTAAAAAGAAAAGACGCCTTCAGGCACCACGCCATGATGATTGTCAAAATCAAAAAATTAATTTTACATTTTTAAATTCTTAAGGAGAGCTATAATCTTTAGAGCAGGTTTAAAATCTAGGGACGAGCAAACAAATGAAACCTAACCCCATCTGACCTGAAACACCCCGTTCTCTTGGGTTCCCGAAACAGCCTGAAGGACTGGGCTGGATATGCAGAAGCCCATGGAAACATCTATTTCAAAATCAGAAAATCCGATTACTCACATGGAAAACTACAGAGCTATCCGAAGTGGAGACTGCTTATGGGGAAAAGCAGTTCCTGCAGCACCTGCTATTCTGTGATTATTACTCTGCACCCTTTTTATGGAGGACATTGAAGCCTCCTTCTTTTTCCCATCCTGTGCGCTCCTAAAGTTACAGAGCCTGGCCATCTCTGACAGGTCAGTGATCAAACAGAGAGTCGGGCAGTAGCCACATTCCATACATCTTAAGAATTACCATGGGCCAAGACTTCTCAGCCTCTGCTCAGCTCAAGGAAGCGGCATTCAACACTGAACAGGACAATAAGCGCTTCCCACACAGACATTTAATATTCTCAAGTGTTTGTCAAATTTAAAGTCCATCATTTCCCAGTAGAAAGTTATTTTATGAATAAGATTTCTGACCCCAAACAAGCCAATTATAAAACAGCAAAATGTGACCTCATCTTTCTCCTTACAAAAGATACGTACGGTTGTACAGAAAATAAACCAGCGTTGTATTACCTGAGTGATCAAAGCCTGTTTATTTAACCAACCTTGTCTTTAAACAGCACCAGCCTTTGTAGAACAGTTTAATTTACTTAAAGTATTTACATTCGCATGAGCAAACTGGTAACGAGATCAAGTGAGACACAATGTTTTGCTGAAATGCAGAACAAGACGCAGGCTGTTCGTCCACTTTGAGAAGCAATCGGTCTACGCACTTTTGACAGTGCAGCGCACCCTCAGCCAGCTGTTTCCCAGCACCCTTCATCCAGAAGCACTGGAAGCTTGCAGTTGCAACTACTTTTAAGGAAAGGCGAAGCAGAGAGCAATGGCTGCTGACTGGAAGCTACAAATTACAGTGCCTGACCCAGCAGAGGGTGCCATGAGCAAAGAATGTATTATGAGTACCAATTAACTTTAGAAAAGTTAATGAAAATTTTTCAAATGCCAAACACTTCAGCCACAAACGACTTCTTCTGCAGAACCAACAGCAAGCCATGATGCACTGACCAGGCATAACATAGCAGGCAGTAAGATAGGAAACATTTACCCTTCCACCGCAGGCACGGTTGCCTGTCTAGGAAAGTGGAGATCCCCTAGGAGACTCTGCCCTTGTACAGGATCTGTGGTTAGACAGAAGCCTTAGTCCACACTTGCTGACCGTGGTAGTGATACACAGGTGAAAACAAGTCTTTCTGATGTGGAGATCTGCAGAAGGTACTTACACAGCCTCCAGCCAGAATTTCTGCTGCAAGTGGAATCGAACCATCTCTGCGCATAAATTTGTCCCGCACAAAATCATTCACCTTAAAGAAAAATATTTAGAGAAGCTGATGATAATTATAAATAAAGTCATTAAACATACACATATGCATCTGCCAACATGTTATTTCTCTACTACATGAACTGATAGATCTGAAAACTGTTTTGAGAGGTACTCTTAATAGTATACATGTAGTTGTTTTAAAGGTAAAACATACTGTTTATAAGTATCTCTGATGTTGCTGTGATGAAAATAAAAAGATAGGTGGCTGATAAGCCAAAAATGCAAATATGTCCTGCAGTTCCAATAGCATGAAAAGGGAGACATAGTGATAGGAGAGACAGAACAAAAACATTCATTCTATAATTTAAAAACAATTTTATAAGATTAAAAATCACTTTCAAGTCTTCTAACAAGACTTAAAATAAAACAGCACTCCTCATTGAGATCAATTTGTGCAGATTTTTCAGCTCAGTGGAAATTCAGTATCTAGAAATTCCTCAAGGATTCTCAAAGAACATCAATTACATTCATTAATTAAGTATAATATTATCAAAATGAAATGAGCTACAAGTAATTTTAAGGAACAGTTGTAAGTTTTTGGCAGATACAAGCCAGAGCAGCTCAGCTATGTTAAGGTCATATCATAAAATGGTATAAGAAAAATTTCATGGATAAAGCTAATGGCCCAGCAAGTTTCTGGGGCTTTATAGTCTTGGTGATATGCAATATCCATCCCCTCCACAAACACCTGAACAAAGTACAAACCACCTGTCAACATGAGCCAGGCCCAAGCAACCAGTGATGAAGTATCGACTTCAAGAAGAACACAGAGCCCTCACTATCCCGCTCTGGCAAATGCTTACAGAATACAGCCTAAATGTACAATCTATAGACAGCAGGTGTAACTGAAAGTCCATGTTGTGAATACAGAAAATCTGATTTGAGTTCTAGTTCTGCTCATAGATTATGTGACCACAGGCAGGCAACTTAACCCTGTGAGACTTACTTTCCTTCTCTGTTCACAGTGGATCCTACTTTGCTTATGATTAAAACGATATAAGAAGACACACGTCAGGTCTCCGACACGGTAGGTAATGAAGAATATTTCACTGCTGCTGCTATGATGGTGAAAACAGCCACCAATGATCTTCTCAAGTTTACCATTACAGTGTCAGCTATTCTGTGTTAACCAGGGAAAAATGAAAAGCTGTGTGTGGCTAGTGCTTTACCGTCCAATAGCACCTCTGAGTAACCACAAACCTGCTGACTCGAAGAATACCTGCTAGATTCGTGAGTATACGCAAATTCCCTTATTAAGAAGCATCAACTCAAAAGACTTACTGTAAGTTTTATGGCCTTCTCTGGGGCAACTCCTAATAGCTGTGGCAACAGACCTAAAAATCAACAAGAAGCAGAAGTATATTAAATAAATTAGCATTAACTAAACAAATCAACAGCTCTGCAGAGGGGATCACCACTTTAAAAACTGGGGCAATCTTCGCTGCAATTTTCTGCTATTACCTTTAATGAGAATACTTGAAATGGAATGTTTAAGCACTAACTTCTAACAGCCACATCTAACAGTAAATTCCCTTGCACATTCTGGGTAGTTTGCACGTTGGGTAAATCAACAGTACTAGTGATGCAGGAAATCTCTTTACTTCAGGGAAAGTCTGCGCCGTTCTCTTTCCTGCCTCCTAGGTCAGCAGGCATAAGTTATATATTTTTGGTAACATTTTTCTCATCTCCCCAAATGCCCACAGCTCAGCCATTCACTCACGGGACCACTATGACTCTGTGACCGGCGCAGGACTACAATTAAGATAATGCTCTCCCGTGTCTCACATGGAAAGAGAAGCCTTCCACGGGAGGTGGCAGCCAGAGGAAGATACATTTGGAGAAGGGGAACAAATAGCGCAAGGAAAGGAGTAAAGCAGCAAGCCTGGTGTGCTTGGAACTAGGGGAGAACATCGGCCTGGCCCTGCAGGCGGGAACAGGAGAGCGGCCTGGGTGGCCTCCAGATGCTTCAGCCACATCACAGGCCAGGATCTGGAGCCTGATTTATTCTCGGTTAGATGAGAAGGAAGGAGAGGGTTTTAACCAAGAAAGCAATGTGCTCGTTGATATTTTTAAAGGACTATTCTAGCTGCTGTGTGGCAAAGAGACAGGATATACAGACTCGTGCGCATGCGTGCGTGCGTGCGTGCGTGCGTGCGTGCATCTCAGGAGCCTGAGGGACAAAGCAGGGTAGACCCAACGGGGTCAGCTTTTAGCACAAACTGGACAGAGATGAAGAATGAGAAGAACACCAGTTTGGGGACAACAAGTAAAGACCTGTGGCCACGTCCAGCTGAGTGGAGCTCAGTGAGATCGGAGTACAGGGAGGTGTGGCCTGCGACAGGAAAGGGCCACCTTCTATACTGGCTGTAAAACAAGAGCGGGCTCCACATCTGAGCTAAAAAGCGTCCCTGTCACTTGTTCTAAGAAACAAAATGAATGAAAATCGAAGACAAACATCTCCTTAGAAATGCACACAGAGCTAACCTGGAGGGTACATCACACCCCGTGTCGTGGCGGTACCCTGGGGAGTGCTTCCTGGTGCCACCCCGTCAACAAGTACAGTTTTCAAGTTCATTTGTACAGAGGGTCCACTTGTAGCCTCTTCGGAGCGGCCACCCTTACCCACCCATCACTTGGACAGGGCCTGTGCTTCCAATCCACCAGGGTCCCCACCTTCCCCAGTGCTGACAGCCAAGCCTCAGTGCTCCCTGATACTGCTCTGTGAATAACCTCACAATAGAGGAAGGTTTCCCTCTGCTTCTGGCTATACAGAAGGGGACAGCTAAATAGGCCAAGACAGCTTCATATTTTAGGAAAAAAAAAAAAAAAAAAAAAAGGAAGCAGTCCATTTCAATGTAAAACTAAATAATAATGAGGACGCTGATGCTAATGAAAATTTAAAAAACAGCTATATAATGTTTATGAGGTGCCAGGAACCATTGTAAGGCCTTTCTTAAACCATTTAATCATAACCATGCTGAAGAGAGGAAGCCAAGGCATACACAGATTAATTTGTTCTAAGTTACCTAGCTGGTTAATGGGGAGACTGGGATCACAAACCTACGCTCTCCTATTTGGCGTTTACACCCCTTGGTCACTCCTCGACCCTGTCATGTAGTTAATATACATTTCCTACCCAGCCCGCAACTGCTCGTTCACATAACCTGCCTGGATCCCACAAGCACCTGTGGGTGCAGCCCCTTCTGCAGGGGGCTGTATTTTCACAGCCTGCTTCATCCTGTGTGAAGACACCTAAAGGATACGCAACCAATGAGTTAGCAATGAGAACCCCGTGGCCTGGCACCTAAAGTGGAGCGAGCCAGCAGGGATCTCTCTTTGAAGGCACTAAGAGTCTCTTGAGGCCCTGGGGCTGGTTAGCACAGAGGTACAAATCGAAAACACGTAAGGAGCGAAGCAGGGGAAATGACACGCGGCAAGCTGGGTATGGGCTACCGTCCGAAGGAAGTAGAGTAAGTGAAGGAGGAGGGTTGCTGGAGAGAATCTGGAGCAAAAAGAATGGGGACACCAAAGAGAGAAAACATAGAGCCCACGAAAGGATGAAAAGGGGACAAGCTGGCTCTGAGCGCTTTCTGGACCCCCTGAGGCCAGGCTGCAGGGTAACTTGTGTCCCTGGTTCCCTGTGAGACTTCTGCCTTTTCTCTCTCTTGCATGAATTCACACCAAAAGCCGCCCTTGTGTGCCTGCCAGCCTGAATGAGGCTGTGCTCTTTATAATCTAAATGAGCCAGGGCAGCACGTGAGAGAAAGCAGGAAAGGGAACCATCCGGGCAAAGCAAGTGCTTTCATTGAAAGCAAGCATTCTTGCCTCTTCAAATGCACTCATCAATCTTGTAAGAAGTTACCTATGAGATGAAAGGTTTAGGTAGTACCCAGGGAAAATACAGTAATTTCTACTAGTTAAAAAGCAGGCAAAAGCTGTTTGAATTAAACCTAGTATCTGAAATCTATTTTGTGTTCTGTATTCAGATCAAGAGGCAAAAATCTTTCACTGTTTACTTGTTAGATGTATTTCTTTTATCACTAAATAACTGACCAAAACCATGCCTGGGCTGAAAGCACTATGATTTAAATGATGATCTCCTGTCTCTGTCACCACCCTGTGAGAGTCTTTTTAAATGACTAATAAAAAAGCATGAGCCATGCTGAAGAGCCACGCGACTTTAGTGTTAGATACATTCATTTCAGCTAGCCTTGTGACCTGCTGAAATGTGTCTTTTCCACTATAAATTCAGCGATGCACTGTGAACAGCAGAAAAGAAAGCAAAGATGTCCTACCTTTAAGACATAAATGAGAGCAGCAAGTATTTATTCACAGAACAAACCCTGATCAACTGCCCTCTCTGTGGAGCTGGTATTAGAATGAACACAATGAAATGGGTGGCTTGTCCTCAAAAATTCTCAGTTTAGAGGAAAAGTGAACCCTAATCATCTCCATGTACCAGAAAGGAGGCAGAACATCTGGAAACAGCGCGGTGAGTCCCAGAGCCCAGGAGCCTCCAAGTACCAGGAGTACAGAGTGGAAGGAACCGGTTATCCTGCCTGCTGGTAGGAGAAAAGATTCAGGACGGGGAGTTATTTACCCTAGGGCATTATCAACAAGCAGAGGTTCCCTGCAGAGAAGAGACAGGACCAGAGTGAAGGGCAGTGTGCTCCTGGAAGAGGGGATAAGGTGTTCAGGCACCAAAATCTCAAGATGCTGGTACATTCAGTCAGGGGAAGACCACTGCAGGATCACAGCTCTTCTAGTACAGAGTAATGGTATCACTGGGGACACTTACTGAACACTAGGAGCTACGTCAGTGTGTTTCAGGAAGCTGCCTAAGGTCCCCCAGTTATTAGATGGGCAGTGGGATGCAGCAGTCTCGTCCCAGCCTCTGTGCTCTCACCTGGCAAGGTACAGCACTTCTTTCAAACTTAAGCCACACTAAGGAACAAAGATCAAATTTGGTCCACACATGGGATGGCTTTTCAGTAAAAAGTGAAGTGTTACAGAGGCCGTTCAGTAACACTGGCGGGTCAGAGACCCAGGGCAAGAAGAGCAATTACAAGATGCAAGTAATATAATCAGAGGTCACAAGTTTCATTCTATTAAATGAAGAACTTCAATTCAGTAAGAATAAAACCAAAGTATACAATCCGTTCCTAAGGCAGACGTTGGCACTCAGAGGCCATGGCTAAGTAGCCTTGTGGCAATCACCTTGGCTACACAGAGAAATAGCTGGCTACGGGTTACAAGCTGAGGCCCACTATGGATGTGGCCCTGCACCATCAGTTTGGGGAAATGCTCTTCAGGAGGTGGCGTGACCCGTGGGACAATTAAAAAAAACTTGTAGATGGGGGAATTCCCTTATGCCTTGCTTATACCCTGACCTCAGAGGTGGACAAATAACATGGCTTAGTAAGGCCTAGTGCCCCATTTCTAGTTCAAATACTTCTTCAGTCACTTTTTGCTTTCCAGGGCATGTACGTTTGACATCTGGGTAACTCAACAGAAAAATCCGGTTTGTAATGTACGATGCTTCTGTTGGGTCCTGCAAATTCATTTTAACCATTCAAAACAGAGACTGGACGTGTGTGTTGTTTCTAACTTGTCAAAACAGCAGTCCATTTTCCAACTGCCTTGAGCGAAATTTATTAGTGTGGTTAGCTTTCTAATCTTCGTTTTTGAGTTCAGCTCCATCAGCACATATGGCAATGCTTCTGTGGAAAACTTTATTCTCCCAGAAGGTTGCTAATGCGAGAAAAGATTTACAGGGGACAGCATTAATACAGTATTTTGTCTTCAAATTTCACAGGTTGGAGACATAAATCACACTATCCCTTCTGAGTTCAATCCCTCGTGCAACCCAGGAAGAGCTAGCTGGAAACGTAGGAACGGAGCTCACGTTGGAAGCCCCCAACTTCGGTTTCATACAGCATCCCCAAAAGAGGTCCTGCAAGCAATGTGCTAGATTAGAGAGCCACTACGCTACTCTTTACCTAAGAACCTTTTAGAAATATAATTTTAGATTTGAGAGCTGTAAAGCACCGTGAAAGAAATTCATTACACCTATTTCTTGCCAACAGCCTGGCAGCAAAATGAACAGTTGTGCGTGTGCTCAGGAGGCAGACAGACCTGCGCTGAAACCTTAGGTTTGCTTTCCTTCCTGCTGAGTGATTCTGGCAAAGTTAATTCTTCCAATTCAGGCTCCTCACAGTTAAAACAAGAACACTGATTACTATCCGCTGGTTTATTTTGATCATCTCATGAGTAAAGGCATACAAAGCCAGATACTCTTCATGACCTGATTTCAGGTAGCCAAGACAGGCACTAT